ATCAAAAACTATAAAAAGGAATGCAGCATAGTCAGAAAAAAGAAGAGTCAGGACTTAGAGAAAGACTTAGGTTTCAGTTCTTTGCCCCCATATTCCCTCCCACCTGCATCACTCTCCGTGTGCCTGCCCCCACCAGCCACCATCACCTTTGAACTCTTATCCTTTGGTGCTCAGAAAGCCTTCCCTGACTGCTTTGACTTGGTCAGATCTCTATTATATATATAATCCTACCGTAACCATGAACTTTTCATAAGGAGTACTTTTAAGAGGGGAATTTTTACATTTATTGTGTAGTGATCTGATTAACTCCATGAGGTCAAGAACCCTGGTTTTGTTAATCACATGCACTTATACACTTGCCCCTGAGCTAGCACTGTTGGTTGGCATACAACCTGTGCTCATCAAATGTGTGAAAAAGAGACAGAAGGAAGGAAATCCTGGCTTTGATACTGACTGGGCTGTACGGTCACTTGGTCTCTCTGTACCTTCATCTGTAAAATGGAGATGATAATGCCCATTTTCCAGGGTTGTTATGAAACTTAATTAAATAATGACATACTGCATTACAAACTGTAAAGTGAATAATATTTTGATGTAAGGTAAAAAGCACTACAGCAGTCACAAATGAAAACACAAAGCTAATGCAGGACAGGTGATTTACTCCCTCCCTTCTGAACTGGGGCAAAGAATGAATCAACAAAGACTTAATAGAGGTGATATGTGGCTGAGGAATGAGGAGACTTTAATAAGTAGAGACAACACCTACTTTCTACATTTACTTGAGAAAGAGAAAGCATGTGTGTGTTGACTCCTCACTAGAAGATCGCTCTGTAAGGACAAGGATTTCCATCTGTTTTCTTCCTAGTTATATTCCCAGTGCCTACACCAGTGTCTGGTGCATGGTTGGTGGGGAGTAAATATTAACCGGATGAAAACATAAGTGAATGAATGCATGCATGAATGGAGGGGAGAAGGAATTATCAGAAGAAACTTTACGGGTAAAAGCATGCACAAAACAGTGTCTCGTTCCAGTGGAAAGTGGTCCTGGTGTGGGAAGCATGGGCTGTGACAGACCAAGGGGCAGAGGAGGAGTGGGGAATAGAGGAGGTAAAGAACCCTGTGAACATAGATGCCGCCGCCTGACGAGAATACTAGTGGACTGGAAGACTTTAAGATGCCATTTGCATGGCTGATTTACAGAGTTTCTAAGTTTTTAAACTAACCCTCCTAGCCCTGATATCTTTAATTGAAACTGAAGCGAAAATGCTCCCCATTAAAATGTCAAACTGAAGTGCCTTGAATCAGGCCACATTGCTAATCATCACAAAGTTCTCCCCTGCACATCATGGGTCTTTGACAACATGTAACCTACAATGACAATGAAGAGAAAAATGTGTTTATAATTACAATAAAGATGGAAGCTAGGAAAATCATCAGGAGCATCTGAATTCAAAACAATGAATATAAATAATGTCATTTGCATAGAAATGTGGCATTGCTACTGATATTGTTAAAATTCAGAAGTAGATGAATAAGGAACAGAATGCTACTTGAAGATTATAAAATAAAAACCTAATACTCTTATCTTTTGAAAAAATCTCTCAGAGTACCTATTAGGAGAAGAACTGGAAATAAACTGTGTACTGAAGACTTTCAGTCAGTACATCACGGTCTTTTTTTTTTTTTAATGTCAAGAAATGACTGCCTAATCAGTATCTGTGATAATGATCTGTAATCTTACCAGCTTGAGACTGACGATAAATAGCAAGCACTGATTTTTTAATAACATGAAGAACAGATATACAACACATTTTCAGGTAGGAATCATCCAGTCCTCCTTAATGGGAAGTCATTATAGTCCAGCCATTGTAATATAATTCAAATAAAATCTTTTTTAAGGTGTCATTTTAATGCAAATAACTAGCAGCAAACTTTTAAACTATTGGTGCCCAAAGCTTATTTTTATCTAAGTCTCAGATAGGAAGAATGTTTGAAATAATTGAGTTCTTCTCTAATTACATAAAGACTAATTTAGAACCTCATTTATTTGGAGAGTCTCTGGCATAGCAAATCTATTTAAAATGACACACAAGAGCAGGTAATTAAAAATTAAAGTTGAAATCAAGATGGAAAAGGAAAGATTGAAGCTGGCTTAGACTGCTCTGATTAACTGTGGAGGGGCAGTGAAATTCTGCGGGGGCTTGATAGACTGTCAAAGATGCAAAGGAAGAGGCAGGGTGATGGAATGCAGTTCCCAGGGGCACCAAAGCTTTTTTGAGTCTTTCCAGTATATGTCCACTTGCAAAGCTAGCTACATGCAACTAGGAGAGATCACCTGGCTGAGTATGGTTGAGAGCTGGAGATTCCCAGTCAAAAAAAAACCTTTCCCCAGGTCTGTTATCCCAGAAGGGAATGCCAGGCTCATGGGTAATTAGGAAAAGGTACATCATCCAGATAAGCAAGACCATTAGGCATGGGAGCACCTTGTGCATAGCAAGCTCTTTTGCATAGAACACTTTTAGAATGGCTTGAGCAATGGCACATGTACACACACACACACACACACACACACACAAAGTGTTGTTTGATAATGCATTTTTGTAGTTTGCAAATGCCTTTTAGGTACACAATCACACTTTGTTCTCACACTAGCCCTGTTTTACAAGTGGTGAAATTGAGATCCTGAAAAGTTATGTAACAAACCTAAAGTGCTAGGACAAGAAATCAAAACTTTCGACTCCAAATCCCCAAACATGTCATCTCCCCATTTAGTAACACTCTTTTTGTTATTTGCTCTTAGTGATTTTTTCTCTTTTCTCCCTCTTCATTTTTCTCTTACCTATTTTCCTTCCTTCCTTTTCCATTTCCTCTTATTCTTGTGTGTGCCATGACTCTGCCAGCAACTCAGAGAGCACAGCTCAGCTGACCAGATCATCTCAGATCTGAAGAGATTGCTGATGCACTCTGAAAGGCAGAACACGGTTCTGCTCCTACTGCAACAAAAGCATTACCCTCTAAGAACTACTTGAGGACATATGAATGTACTTGTACAGTACAGTTAAATTAGCTTCATGCCAGAAAATAAAAATCTGATAGATTCTTAAGTTCACGTGGAGGGGCTGACCTATAAAAAGGCCCAAGATGGAGTCTTCCAAAGATACTCATCCCCCTGCTCCGAGCCCCAGAAAGCAAACTTTACCCCTGCCCTCTAAAGGCAATCAGGGGTATGAGAGTGCCACTCATAACGCTTTACTAAATCTGGATTCTTCTTTCTCAGATTATAAATATATACTGTCTGAGCTGTAAATCAAATGTCTAGGTCTCTATTTCTCTCCTAAGGACCAAGTGAACAAGCGAGCTCACAAATAGAAGTGAAAACTAGTTACAGCAGCTTTTCTCCAAGTGTAGCCCCTTACAAGAATCTTTAGCATCACTTGAGAATCTGTTAAAATGCAAATTCTTGAGTCCCAATACCCAAATCTAATAAACTAGAATTTCTGGGAGTGGGACCCAGCAAGCTGTTCTGATAGTCTCTCTAGATTATTCTGATGCCAATTGAAGTTTGGGAACCCTGGTTTAAATACAATTCAACGGAAAAGACCTTGACTAGGAGCTAGGACTCATGGGACTTAGAACAAGCATTTGTTCTAGGCCTGGGAACCAAAACTTTTTATCATTCGTAAAACCACTCTTTTAACGATGTTAATTATTTGCAAGTGTGTTGACTTACAACCTCTGTTATTAAATCTATACTGAATAAATGCGAAGAAGAACAAGGAGAAGAGGTGAGTTAGCTGCAATCACCCTCTAAGAGCAGCTGATGACCTCCCTAGTCCACCTGATTGACTGTATTGTGTGTGTGAGTATTTTATTCATCCATCACTGAGTCATTACTACTTTACAGACCTCTGCAAGTAGTAATCAGTGTCTCAGGCGGTGACCATGATGTGATCAATGCCACAGCTGGTGCCCCATGTGAGGAGACCAATGTGATCCACCCTGCACACTGGGGGTGCAGCAATTAACAAGTCAGAAATGGTCACTTCCTTTGAGAAGCTGACAGTCCTGCAGGAATGATGCACATTGTCTAAGTGCTATGAGCGCTAGGAGGAATTGGTATGGAAGAAAACACAGGGAAACTCACTCAAAGCCAGGGTCTTGTATTAACAGAGAGAGGCAATGACCTCAAGGGCAAGAGGGCTGTATTGTTTACCTTAGTGTATATGCAGAATGCAACATGCTCCCATCAATAAGCTGGGAAAAAGAGCGTCCTCCTCAGAGGAATGATCCTCACCCCTCGCCTTCTTTTCCTCCGGAGTTACTCCAGTGCAGGGAGGAGGATATATTAGGATTCAAGAGGAAGGGTCAGTGTGAACTTAGTAGCCTAAAGCCTGACTTGACTACTTCACATCACCTATTATTTTTAGCTATTAACATGGTTGTTCCCTGCTCTAGCATTCACAAAACTCACAACTTTAAAAGAAATATCTTGTGAAATAGCTCTTCTTAAACCTTACCATCCACAACTTTTTAATTTAACCTTTGTTTTAAGGTGAGGGGTACATGTGCAGGTTTTTTACATAGGTAAACTTGCTTCATGGGAGTTTGTTGCACAGATTATTTTGTCACCCATGTATTAAGCTTAGTACCCATTAATTGTTTTTCCAGATCCTCTCCCTCCTCCACCTTCCATCTTCTGACAGATGTGTGTTGTTCCCTTCTATGTGTCCATGAGCTATCATTTAGCTTCCACTTATATGTGACAACACACAGTATTTGATTTTCTGTTCCTGCATTAGTTTGCTAAGGATAATGGCCTCAGATCCATCCATGTCCCTGAAAAGAACATGCACAAATTATTGAATTCCTGCTACATGCGAGGCTGCGATGGAACCTAAGACCTGCTACCTGTCTTGTGCACATCTCCCCCCAGCCATCCCATAACACATTGTCCAGAAAAAAAGGGGGGGCACCAGCTACATAACCAGGTACACACTTACTGTTGTCCTCAGCAACACAGTGTCTGCTTCATGCAAAGAACACGGGACACAATGTGCCCATACATGCCATGCTGGTCTCCAGTAAAACACAAGGGGGAGGATTCCAAATGAGAAGATGGATCCGGCAAGGCAGAGAGTTTTCCGGCAGCCTTGAGTCCGATAGCCAAATATTTCCTGGGACAGAATCAAAATGACCCCAAATATTAGTTAAGCACAATAAACAAGCAATGAGCAAATACTGATGTTAGTGATGGAAATGGGGGCAGAGAATGAAGGAGTTGAGGAGGGTGAGGAGAGGGCAGGGTGAAGGATGGAGAGAATAAAGAAGGATTCTTGACCAAGAAGTGTAAGACATGATTCCAGGAAGCAAGGAAGGCACAGTCTAACTAGAACTTCAGTTTCTGTAATTTGAGCACCTAACTACACTGTGCCAAGCACAATGCTAAGTGTTTAGAAATGTTGTCTTGTTTAGTCTCCCAATCATCCCTATCCCTATAGTTTCCCTGAAGTGAGATAATCATCCTCATTTCATATATGGTGGGACTGATCTTAGAGGGGCAGAATGCGATGTCTTGCCCAAAGCCACACAGCTAGAATGTTCCAATGCTAAGATTCCAACACAGGTCTGTCAGCCTGCTAGCCAATGGCAGTACCAAGAGATTCCCTTGGCTGGGACTGGCAGTCACAGGAGAGGAAGAGAAAAGAACCAGGCCTTGCGTTCTGAGTCAGGGATTGGGTGAAAGTATTTGACTGTAAGAAGATTGACAAGTAAATGCCAACTTGCCCTTGGGAGTTTGGGATAGAGTTGTGCCTTCCCACTTTCCTTCCTCATTCAGTAACAAAAAAAATTTTATGTCTAGGGGAAAACACCATAGAGACTATTTGGTTTACTTCAACTCATTCTACTGGGCACTGATGCATCATGAGAGGATATTATTAGACCCCACACAATATAAACTAGACAAGATAAGAATCTCACATCTAATACATGTATAATCTGGACAAATGTCTTCCTTCCAAGGAAATCCTGAGAATTTCCTTGGAAATGGAATGGAAAACCGCCCCTGAAGTTTATGGTCTTAGTTCCACAGCTTTATCCCACGATGTCATGGGTATACTTTATACTGGTTATGAGGGCTAAAATTGAGAGGTAGTAGGGTGTCCTGGTTAAAAGCACATTTTGTGAACCAAGACCCTTTGGGTTCAGAGACTAGCTCTGCCACTTACTAGGTGTGTGATTTCAGTAAGTTATTTAACCACTTTATTCCTCAGTTTGTCTCCCACAAAATGGGATAGTAACTGTACCCATGTAACAGGGTTGCTGTCTTATGTAAGCATTTACTATGGCTGTTGCTGCTATTACTTGATCACATGTCCCTGCAATAGACCTGAAATTCTATCTCCCAGTGTATTGGCAGTTAGGTACAAGAGTTCCTAGTGTCAACAGTTCTGCTCTTCCTAGAATTGTCTCTTAGGACAACAAGGGAGCTGGAACATAAAACTTTAAATCTATCAACTCTATTTCACCTGGTAAAGATTACATTGCCAGGAAAGGTTCTGTGATGCTTGGCTGAAGGCTGCTTTTGTGTGTAAACATTGAGTTCCTTCTAACACGTACAGGTGCTGAATGGCTTTCTTCGGCATTGTCCACATCTGACATAACTTCGATAAAATGTTCTCATTAACTAAGAAATACAAGTTCTGAACTAATTTTGCGAAGTAGAATGTATGTTCTGACATGAATACCCTTCTGCTCCAAGCTCAAGCTATGGCTCATCACAATGGCAGCAATGCTCTCCTACTCCCACACTCAGCAGTGCCCCAATTGTAATTTCCCTGCTTGTCCTGAGTCCAGCTACCATTCTTTCCCATGTGCTTTTTCTATGTTTCAACACTTTGGCATAGACCAGTTTCTACCTTCCAACCCAGACATTTTTTCACCTATTTAAAATATTATATTTAAAAATTTCCTTATATTGCCAGTCAGTTGAGCCCCCATGTAATGTAAAGCAAATATGCCTGAGCTACTCTGTTCTATGACAAAAACCTCTCTGTTACTATGCATTCTTTTATGGGCTGTGCAGTGAGGACTCTCTATATAGTTTCCAAAGTGTCTTTGTGTTCATTATCAAGATAAAGCAAGCAGAAATTATCTTAATTCTCCATTATGAAAAGTATAAAGTTATGGTATTATCTTTAATAGTAATAATAGTGATTATTAGCAACTAATTATTGATAACAGTGCTAGCAGCTAACATTTACTGGGCACTTAAAAGCCTTTCACTAAGCATGTGATACATATTCTACCACTTAGTTGAAAAAGATTAAATTAGTTTCCCAAGCCAACAAAGCTCATAACTAACTCAAAACCAGATCTCCAGTCTAGACCTCTGCAGCACATGGAAGATAATGTGGCTATTTCTACTCCAAGGCTCTCCTTTATTCTTTTATTTCAGTTCTACTTAACACATGTTTCTCACATGTTCACAAAATGGCAGGCATGCACTACATAAATGAGACTGTATTTCTGGTCTCAAGGAGATCATTAGTTTAGTGGAGAAGAGAGACACACAGACAGCTAAGATTAAACAAGGTTAGATCAATAAAGGTTTACATAAAGAGATAACCATATAAATTCTCACCTCAATGGGGTGCTATGAATAATAACACTGGGACAGCAGAAGCAGGTGAGTGTAAAGAGAATGCTTCACTGTAATTTCCAGGCACTATGACCAATTGTTTATGAATGCATTTCAATGGATTTACCTCGCTGCTCACCCAACCCAGACACCTATTAAAATTCTTGCCTCTGTACTGTTCCCCTCTTCTTTGCCACTCTTTAGTACTAAAGGACGTTTCTCTAAGTTTCTTCCAAGTTAATTTGACTTCCAGATTCAGGTAAAAAATTCTCAACGTGAATGGCCTAATCTAGAAATCTTAAACAGGAGGCTCAAAAGGAATGACCTACAGTCTCGTTTTTTTTCTTTACTTATTAAGGATTTCTTAAGACTTTAAATTGATCCCCAGTTATTTTCACATAAAAATTATAATTTATACTTTTTATAAAAAAGAAACTAGAAATCTGACAATATTGTCCCCACGTTCTTACCATGCAAGGATCAGCTGGATTCCCAAGCAAGCCAAGGGAACCCTCCTTTGTCACACCGGAGTGCTGCTTTAACAACCTGGACGCCCACTCAAGAGACATAATCTGAAAGTTGGTAAATTCAAAGACGACAGGAGGATAAATTTACAATGACGGGAAGAATCCAGCATAAAAAAGCTGAGAATACTCAAAGTCAGAACGCCTCTCCTCTAAAGATGATCACAGTTCCACATCAACAATTGAACAAGGTTTGATGGAGAACGAGCGCATCCCGATGACAGAATCACTCTTCAAGGAATGGATAATAACAAACTTCAGTGAGTTAAAAGAACATGTTGTAGCCCAACGTAAAGAAACTAAGAACTTTGAAAAAAGGTTTGATGAAATCCTATTGAGAATAGACAACTTATAGAGGAGTATGAGTGAATTAATGGAACTGAAGAATACAATACAGGAACTCCGAGAAGTATGCACAGGTTTAAACACTCGAATTGTTCAAGCAGAAGAAGGGATATCAGAGGTCAAAGTCCAACTTAATGAAATAAAACGTGAAGAAAAGATTAGAGAAAAAAAGGATAAAAAGGAATGAGCAAAGTCTCCAAGAAATGTGGGACTATGTGAAAAGACCAAATTTACGTTTGATAGGTGTACCTGAATGAGACGGAGAGAATGAATCCAAGCTGGAAAATACCCTTCAGGATATTATTCAGGAAAATTTTCCTAAACTAGCAAAGCAGGTCAACATTCAACCCCAGGTAATACAGAGAACACCACAAAGATATTCCTCAAGAAGAGTAACCCCAAGGCACATAATCGTTAGATTCACCAGGGTTGAAACGAAGGAGAAATTACTAAGGGCAGCCAGAGAGAAAGGTCAGGTTACCCACAAAGGCAAGCCTATCAGACTTACAGCAGATCTCTCAGCAGAAACTCTACAAGCCAGAAGAGAGTGGGGCCAATATTCAACATCCTCAAAGAACAGAACCTTCAGCCCAGAATTTCATATCTAGCCAAACTAAGCTTCACAACTGAAGAAAAAATAAAATCTTTTATGAACAAGCAAGAACTCAGACATTTTATTACCACCAGGCCTGCTTTACAAGAGCTTCTGAAAGAAGCATTACACACAGAAAGAAACAACCAGTATTAGCCTTTCTAAAAATACACCAAAAAGTAAAGAGCACCAACATAAAGAAGAATTTACACCAAAAAATGGATAAAACAGCCAGTCAACATCAAATGGCAGTAACCCTAAATTTAAATTGACTAAATCCCCCAATCAAAAGACACAGCCAAAACCCAACAGCATGTTACATCCAGACCTGTTTCACATGCAAGGATACACAAAGACTCAAAACAAAGGGATGGAGAAAGATTTACCAACCAAATGGAGAGCAAAAATAAATAATAAATAAATAAAAAGCAGGAGTTGCAATTCTCGTATAGGATAAAATAGATTTGAAAGCAACAAAGATATAGTGGTAAAAGGATCAATGCAACAACAAGAGCTAATGATCCTAACACCCAGATACATAAAGACTTAGACTCAATGAGACAGAAAATTAATGAGGATATCAAGGACTTGAACTCAGATCCGGAACAAGTAAACTTAATAAATATTTATAGAGCTCTCCACTTCAAATACACAAAATATACATTCTTGTCAATACCACATCACACCTACTCATAGGTTTAAATGAAACATTGATTGGCCATTATTCATACCCAATTTTTTTCAGAATAAAGCAATATATCCATTTACTCTCCCTCTTTCTCTTCCTCTTTCTTCCTCTCCTTTATTTTTTTTTTCTTTCCTTCTCTCAAAAAAAAGAAATCAACTTGTAAACCTCTAGATCCAGGTCGTCAATGTCTCTCTCATTGCTTGATTTCCTTCCTTCCCTTCCCTCCCTCCCTCCCTCCCTCCCCCCTTCCTTCCTTCATCCCTTCCTTCCTCCCTACCATCCTCCTTCCCTCCCTTCCTGCCTTCCACCAATAAAAAAAAAAGAGCTCCCTGCTCTCAGTCTGGTGGCCAACACACCACCACTTAATTGTTCGTGACCATAACACA